TGTGAAATCCACAGCAAGAAAGATTTGGAAAAAGTGGCGGTTTTTCAAAAATTTCTTGCTGTGGATTTCACACCTGATGATGATTCCTTGTGTTGCAGTCGAAACGTCGTGAGAATTTTATTGTTTTATATTTATATTATTTAATTATTTCCCTTTTACGTGACTTTACCGAAAGAACCAAGAATATGAATCCCTGCAGTCACGAAAGCTTTAAATCAAAATTTAACATCTATTGCTGTTATGTATCGCCACATTTGTTTCAACTCTGGACTGGTGTTGCCCTTCTTGGGCTCATGGACAGCCCTGGATGCCAACAATCAAAATTGGAGTCCGCAATAAGCGCTCAACATTTTTAAAATTTCCATGCAGAACCACCCCGAGTCTTGACGCTCAGCGTATATTGCCTTTCAAAAAAATAATTATGATCATCATCACCATCAATTATGTTCTGTATAAAATATAATCACCGTTGCATTATATAAGGGGTGCGACAATACATGTGTTCATGAATTACCGTCGAACCTTAAGGCTAAGAGCACATGCTTCTATTCCCGTGTTGAAGCAACACTTGAAGTGCCGGGCATTCTCTCTCTCTCTCACCACAGCTGTGGACCACACGGAACCGCGCTCGGACGCAGCACGGGAGATGTGTGGCGTGCCACGTTGTTCCACACGTGGAAAATCAAAGATTCACCAATCTGCGACTGCTGTTAAGCCAAAACCATCAAACGCATCACCGACCAGTGGCGCCATCCACGCCACACACCCTGGCGGCATCGCTGCAATCCATACAGCAGCTACAGCGACTGCCGATTTTGATTGGTTGAAGGACCTTCACGTTCAACTATGACATCATCTATACAATCCATACAGCATCTACTACTGCCGACTTGGATTGGTTGAAGGACCTTCACATTCAACTATGACATAATCTATACAATCCATACAGCATCTACTACTGGTGATTTGGATTGGTTGAAGGACCTTCACGTTCAACTATGACATCATCGCTACAATCCATACAGCATCTACTACTGCTGCCGACTTGGATTGGTTAAAAGACCTTCACGTTCAACTATGACATCATCTCTACAATCCATACAGCATCTACTTCCGTACAGCATCTACTACTGCCGACTTGGATTGGTTGAAGGACCTTCACGTTCAACTATGACATAATCTCTACAATCCATACAGCATCTGCTACGACTGCCGATTTTGATTGGTTAAACGATCTTCACATTCAAGTATGACATCATCTATACAATCCATACAGCATCTACTACCGCCTTAGATTGGTTAAAGGACCTTCACATTCAACTATGACATCATCTATACATTCCATACAGCATCTACTACTGGTGATTTGGATTGGTTTAAAGACCTTAACATTCAACTATGATATCATATAGACATCGTCGATACAAACTGTTGCTTAGATGCCATACGAAAGAAGAAGCAAAGCTGGTTCGGAAGTCACAAGCAAGTAACCCAGCACCAGTACACACAGTCGAGGTTTGGTTGTGTACAGTGCGAAAGAAGGTCAACATAGTAATACGGGTTTACTCTTTCATCTGGCACCAAAACTGACACCTTTATACAAGGGATCATGTTTTCAATAACCACAACACAAGCAGTCAAAATGCAAACAAAAAGAGACAACTCTGATAATGATATGCACTGTCCTTGAAATTGATTGGTCCACACCCGAGACGGTTTTATATCTTGCTACTGGCAAAGGAGGTCTCATAAAGTTCAACATACACACCATTTCGAGAAACGGCTCTTCCTCATATCAGTGACCTCTAACCACCTCTGCATTATATATCCGCTACGACGGAGGGCCATTGCCCAAAACGTCGACTATTATATGTGTCTTCCTCTTGAGAGCAGAGTTATGAACGAATATGTTGGATTTTTTTAGCCAAGTCTGCTTTATTCTATTCCACATTCATGACCCGCGGTGGCCAAGAACATCTCTTGCAGCCCTCCTTGGGGCGGGTGGGAGGGTCGAGTGGTGCGGTGGGAGTTGTGTGGAGGCGGGGGGGATGTCGGGCGGTGGGCAGGGGGGTGCTTGTGGGTGGGAAGAAGTCGTGGTGGGTTTTCGGGGGGGTCAGGCCGGCTTTGGGGTCAGAATGTCGAGTGGGAGGCGCTGCTCTTCAAGCAAAAGGTGCAGCGCTGGTGACGGAGCAGCCGCAGGTCCGTGCCCGCTAAGGCGCTGTAAAGCTCCCGCCGGATCCTTAATCCCGGCGACAGATGCCCCCTCCCTCCCCCCTGCAGATTCTCCGCTCTCGCACGCAAATCGCGGCGGGGGGTGAGGGACGCGGGGCCAGGGCACGGGAGCTTAGATTGATGCTGCGCTTTGGGGCAGCAGCAGCAACAGCAGGGACAGCAGTAGCAGCAACAGCAGTAGCAACAGCAGTAGCAGCAACAGCAGTAGCAGCAGCAGTAGCAGCAGTAGCAGCAACAGCAGTAGCAGCAACAGCAGTAGGAGCAGCAGTAGCAGCAGTAGCAGCAACAGCAGTAGCAGCAACAGCAGTAGCAGCAACATCAGTAGCAGCAACAGCAGTAGCAGCGACAGCAGTAGCAACATTAGTAGCAGCAACAGCAGCAGCAGTAGCAGCAACAGCAGTAGCAGCAGCAGTAGCAGCAGTAGCAGCAACAGCAGTAGCAGCAACAGCAGTAGCAGCAACATCAGTAGCAGCAACAGCAGTAGCAGCGACAGCAGCAACAACAGCAGTCGCAACAGCAGCAGCATTAAAATCAGCAACAGCAGCAACAACAGCAATAGCAGCAATATCAGCAACAGCAGTCACAGCAGCAGCAGCATCGGTATTACACGTGAATGCTTGTATGAATATATAAGCAAAAAAAAACATTAGTTCCGTCTCCACACATATATAACAGTAGTTCTCGTCGATCAACCTATGTATTGGCTTTTCCGACCAATATCAAGCGGCATTTATTCAGCCATTCATTTCGTGTCCATCACACCAACTTAGATAGATCAGGTCCGCCCGGTGACGGTCAGTAAACGATGCTTAAATCATCAGCATTCGTTGAAGCAAGTCCAGTCAATTCTGGAATGAGTTCAAGCTGCTGGATCTCATCAGCAGAGTCGGGGATGTTTTCTGAACAAATGCTGCGAGATTACTGGATGTTGTTTTCGCTCGAGAGAGACACCTGTAATTGTGGATGATGGCCACTGGTGGATGATGGCCTCCCCACACGGTACAGGGCTTGGGAGGTTATTGTACATATTCTTGGGTTTTTTCGGTAAAGTCACGTAGGTAAAAAATTAACACTAAAATTATCGGGCTGTGACGGTTCCACCTGAAGACGGAAGCTTGTGTTGCCTCCGAAACGTCGTGATTTTTATTTTATTTTTTATTTTACTTTTATTAATTTTAGTTTAAAATTTTTACCTACGTGACTTTACCGAAAAAACCCAAGAATATGAATCCTTGCAGTCACGAAAGCTTCAAATCTAGGTTATTGTACCCCACACAATCAACTGATCAGTGCGGTTTAGTGAACGCGGGGATGCCCTCAACACCAGGCAGTGGTTTGACAAATGGTAAGTACATGTATGTATGTGTTGAACTTCTTTCGCACCGTACGTAGCCAACCGTGCTAATCAGAGGTGCAGGAGAAGGACGTGTACATGACATGTGGCTATTTATCCTGGCGACCAGTGATCCTCCCGTTGAATAAGCAATTGCGGCGGCCGGGTGGCTTCCAAGTCAGAGCGCTAAGTCTTCGGATCTAATGCGGGCTTCAGCCGTCCATGATGATACTGGGTTCTCCAGGAATGTCGTGGTCTCAGCCCGGTCACCAACCACATGCACGAACACCCAGCACACTGCACGTGGTGTTTCACGTTGGATACATTTTAGGCTATGAAACAAAACATCGCACTATCAGTTGGAGTGTCACGCGAGCAGACATATCTCAAGAGCGGAGCGCCTCCTTGTGTATAGATATGAAAATAAATGACTTGAAGCGATCTCAGGAGTAGATCTGTGATACCTTCTTCCCGCGGGCCAGAAAAAAACGACAACAACAGCTCCACATATCAATCACCTTTCTGTCACCACTTGAAACAAAGCAATAAGATGCCCGTTCTGTCAGCGAGCGCCTATGAATGCAGGCAAGGCACACGCGAAGAGATGTCGTGACTTTGTTTTCTTCACGGTTGAAATGTTGATCACAACTGCACCCAGGATTAATTTCAGAAGCAGAGTCTACCTCAAGGCGAACCGAGGTGGTGGGGGGGGCGGGGTGGCAGGTTCAGTTCCTCATTAGCCACGAGCGTTGCGCATAGCAGAGTCGAACTGAGTCGCCGGGCTCGTAGCGCAGTGCGCAGAAAATGTTAGATCCCTTTCCGCCATTTTTATAATAAAACACAGTAGGGTAGAACAGATGCACCACACGATGCCCGCACGCAATGCAGTGACATTGAACACGCGTATCTCTAAGACGCGGTATCACACACACGCGCACACGCGCATACGCGCAAACACCATTGCCTGCGCGTGTCACGTCAACGTCTCTCAAGCGCTTCTCGTTCAGCTGATGAACCACCATTCGTTCGCCCGTTACACTTTCATGCGGAGCTTGCACTCGACGCGCGGACGCTGTCCACAACGCTGGGAGTGCTGAATTCACAAGCACATCTTTTTAATGGCGCCCGCGTTGCACGGGAACGCTTATATAGCGGCGGCTCGGCTTATGGCGAGCGTAAATCCGACGGCTGAACAAGAACTGCACACACGCACGCACATGCACACACACGCGCACAGCCGGTGGCGCATTACGTGCTGGGGTTGGGCGTCAGCGCCGCGTATGATTTGATCAGCAGCGAACGGATAAAGCTTCCCGAAAAGTTGGGCTAGCTGCTCCCCCCACCCTCTCTGTCCTTCCTCCCTATTCCTCCCCCCTCCCCTACTCATCCTCCCACCTCTACCCCCTCCCCCCCTATCACCGCCACCCGCCCGCCCGCCCTGCCTCCCTCCTCTGCCCACGCTCCGCTCCCTCGGATCTGCCTGGCTACAGGCGCTGTCCATACTGCTGGGGGTGCTGAAATTAGACGACGCTCAGGCGAGTCGCCGTATGCCAATGCGCGAGTCTTTAGACTCAAGTGGGGAACCCGGGCTTTCTGTTTAAAGACAACAACAACAACAAACCGATAGCAGAAAACGGGGCAGGTGACTCTCTCCTTTTGTTTAAATTTTTTTTTGTAAAGGAAAGCAGTAGACTTTGAGTGGTGCTTCCCCCCCCCAACCCCTCCATTAAATACTGCCGCTGCCAAATCCATTCGAAGGAATGTCCACCGACTATTAAGACGCGAGAGCAATTTAGCGTGAATACCCCCCCCCCCGCCCACACACACCCATTACCGGTCGGAACGCGTTGCACTTTCGCATTGAGACGACGCTTCCGTGGCGTGCGCGCAGGCGTGTCGTGTTCATTTCGTCCGACGCGAATAGACGGACACACATAGAGAGGGAGAGAGAGAGAGAGGATTTGAGAATAATCGCGCTACAGGTTTGCGACGATCTGCTGTCACCTGCGAGACAATGTTCGCGCTTCTTTGTAGCGGTTGCGCGACGTCTTCCGTGAATTAAATCATCCTCCCGAGCTTGCAGCCGCGTTCTCCGAGCTAGCCCGGCAAACTCGATCGACGATGGAAGCGTTCAAGGAGCGCGTGTTCGTTCCCGGCAAGGAGAAGCTCAAGGAAGCGGCGGGGAAATCTCTTCGGCTCCTCCACAGGTACGATTCTGCCCACCCCCCTCGCCCCCCACATGCCACCGTCCTCTGCTGCTTGAGCGAGCTGGAGGTTATCGTACTTGTGTAGCTGTTGTTGCTGTTGTTTTCTTCGTCTTCATCTGATATAACCTGTAGAACGGTTGTTGTTGTTGTTGGTGTGAACACCGCTGGTGCGTGAGCGTGTTTAAGTGACGAGCTCAATGCAAACACACGTATTCATTCATATATATTGCACCTTCAATAGTGCTGCTTGTGTCTGGCCACTTGGCGTTTTTATTAGCCGTTGGGGCTATGCTCAGAAATGGTGATAAAAAAAACCCGTACAACTAAAAACAAAACCTCACCATATTTCAAGATATATTTTAGTTGTCATTGTGGGCCACTGCAAATGCCATTAATTAGTGGTGCATGTTAATTCTTGCGACTGTTATAAGAGATAGCGAGTTGCTCCAAAGATTTCAAAACGCAACCGCGCGAAATGTGTGCTTGCATTCAGTAGATTCTAATTGTATTGTCGAGTAATTGATGACATTTCAGTGGCCGATATAACTGATTAAGCCATCTCGAGGAGAGAGAGAGAGTCGGAAATTGACGACGCCTTAAATTCGTTTTTTCATCGCAATGCTCGTCTTGACCGTAAATTGTGACTCAGAGCCAGAATCCGCTTTCCGGTCTCTGAGCCAGACTCGGTTTCTGAGCCAGACCCGTGCCCTGAGCCAGAGTCCAGTCCTTGAGCTAGATTCGATTTACGAGCCAGACCCAGTCTCTAAGCCAGAAGACAGTCCCCGAGCCAGACCCAGTCTCTGAGCCAGACCCGTGCCCTGAGCCAGAGTCCAGTACTTGAGCTAGACCCGGTCTCTGAGCCAGACACGGTCTCTGAGCCAGACCCCAGTTTCTGAGCCATGACCCATTCGTCTGTTAAAGGTGCTGTGGCGGCGGGGAGTTTAAGGAACGAAAACGATCGAATTCATTAAAACAATCGCGACGGGAGGATGCCTCCCGCATCCCGGACTCGACCATCTCCACCAGAGCCACCACCATTTTGAGCCCCTGATTTTCTTCGTGTCTCATACAGTGCCCGCTCCTGCCATTAATTATTTACACGCGAAATGGTTCGTGAATCACATCGGCCCCGCACATAAAAGGCAACGCATGGGCCCCCGCATGAATTATTCACTGCGCATTAATATCGCGACACGCGGGAGCCGGGCCAACGTTTGGTGGTGTTTGCAAAGAATCGCGATTGATTTTGTTGTTGTCGGTGCTCTGTTGATGTTGTTGTTTTTGTTGTTGTTCGTATCATTGCACCCGACAAATATGACATTGTATAAAGGAAAACGCAGTAATTATGCAAATATGTAATTTTATTTTTTATTTTGTATCTGCAATGATGACAGGTTTGACGTAATTGTCGATGACGTAATGAAATCTATTTTTAATCTGGGGCCCAGCTGTCACGCCCCCCCCGCCCCCGCCCCCCCTTAAAAGCGGCTTATACTGATAATCTGCGAGCGTTCCACATGTACCCGCCCGCTATAGCTTCCGATTGAACTCGACCATTTCCACCGCAATGTAACTTCTCACAATGTGAATGGCTGCGGGCATTATATAATGGCAACAGTATAATTGTAATGATACCACATGTGCGTCCTAGAACCGCGCGTTCCCGTCACATTTTTTTTTAAAGACACCAAGTTCCCCTCGCGAATACGAATTTCTCGCTCTCCCGCTGCGCGCACACTCGCTCAACAGATATCACAACCTGCAGCAAAGACTTTTAGATTTTATTTGCTTTGGCTCGTAGTCAAGTGTAATTGCGTAATCATACCGACAGTATGTCATTAACCAAACCGACGGTTCGTTTGGTAACAATTATGTTTTATCCCCCTTCTTTCCACCGCGTAATGGGAATGTCAAACCCGAATTAAGACATCTTAGATTCGTCAACACGCCCAACACTAAGACGTGTCGAAAATAGCCAATAAAGCCACGTGATTTTTATATATAATCATACACGTAGCATTCTAATTTGTATTACGCAATAATCAGAGGCACTGTCAACAGTTGTGCATGCTGCTGCACAGCAACTCTGCACACATGTCAACAATGCTGTGGCCTTAAGACGAATGCATATAGAATCAGCGACTTTTCGGGCACTGGCCCTTCTTCATAGCAAATGAAGAAGCACACGAAGAACGCCCATTGTGCAAAACGTCACCGATGTTATATGCATCTGTTTTTTTTTAAGGCAGTGTTGTTGACGAGTGTGTTAAGTTGTTGTTGTTTGTGCCTGTGCACCACTGCCAACGTAGCAGCAACACCAACATTACAAAAGAATGTGACAATTCAATATACTGTAGCGATCAATTTGTTACAGATACTAAGTATCCCGAACATATTTTCTATTTGGGACTTTAAACAATGGTTTGTTAGTCATGGGACGATCTATCTTATATAACGAGCGAAACACTGCGCGCACGTGTGTGTGTGTATGTGGCGAGCGGTAGTGTAGCGGTTAGCACTACGAACCCAGGAATGCGAGTTCGATTCCCGCTCACGGCCACCAATTCCAGCAGTGACGATTATCTGAACCGGTCCTGGGTTCAGATAATCGACTCAGCCTCAAATGACGACCTGTCGCGGTGTGTAAACGTCGCTATTGGGGAGGCAAAGGTGGCCGGGCATGGTGCTGGTCACCCACACCCTCGTGTGCCGTGCCGGTCTTCATAGGTGCTCGCTCATATCACTTGCCCCAACAGCCTATTCAAGCTAAACGGGGGAATATTTGCCTTTGTATGTAGGTACGTGTGAAAAAAGTTCTCATCAAACCGGTTGTTTAGTATATTTGTCTGATGGAAAATAATTTCGTAATATTTTATTAGCACCAACTAGGGATGGTATTACAATTCATCGCATGACCATCGCGTGGAAGATGATGAACTGTGGATACGGACTAAGGAGATGGAGTATGACGCAAGTGGTGTCATGCTGCGGCAGTCGGGAGGGCGTTAACAGCATTTATAAAATCAAATAATTGACAATGGACGTGGCTTTTATGAACCAAATAATATTTTTTTGAAAAGTTTAACGATTTTACGATTATTATTGTCTTTTATAGAAAGCCACACATCACACCCGCTGTCTATTTACGAATAGGCGACAAGCAACACATTACATTTTACAAACAAATACAAATATATTATTCACATATGAATATACGGCTCATGCGGTGTGATAGAAATATTACGAGCGTTGTCGATAGCGACTCATGTAACCCACTATGTTGACAATTCTATAATAACGATTGAATATTGTTATTGTGCAAACGTACATCGCGCAATATTGCACTGACGAAAACGGATACATATATATACTAATGTGTATATGATGCCACAGGTGTAGAGGCAGATACACACACACACACTTACGCATAGTATCAGTCAGTATCCGTTAGCGGGCTCTGACCGCTTTCTAAATGCTTTAGCGTCACACTCCGCGGTAGGATAATTAATTACTTGGGTTCACTGTTGATAGGGATCGTCAATGTTTAAGTGGTTATAACGGCAGCTCAAGCAATGTCGATGATGGCAGAGCGTAATCTCGTTATTTTAGTATTTGGGCCGGGAAAGTGGAGGGATGGGGTGGGGGGTGGTGGTGGTGTTGGCTAAAATCCAAACATTTAAATTTCCCGATGTGTCTAATTGTTACGCATGGACTTTATATTCGTGCCAAATTTACCGCTCTCTACATCGCATACGTTCAAATCCGCATCAACTATGTATACATATATGTGTGTCACGAGGCGGGTTACGTAATTTCGTTCGTAGTTTTACCCTCGTTTCTAGCTTGCGCTCTCCGTAACACTCTGGCCCCTTTACTACAGCACCGGAGTAACGTCATTTGTCTTTCCGTGCGGCAAGACCAAACAACGGCTCTGCGTCTTCCCCGTCCACTGTTCAATTCAAGGCCACCCATCGCTCGAGCCGCACTTCGATTCACCGCGCAAGGCCGCTCACCGCGGGTTGTGGTTGAAGCCATCGATGTGCGTCTGCACACACCGTCGGATTTATGTTGGAAAGGCGAGCGGCGGTGCCGACACGTATCAACTAAGCATTCTTTCGGTGAGGACGATCGCTTGTGTGGCGATCGAAACGTCGTGAGCTATTATTCTTTGTCTACGTGACTTTACCGAAAGAACCATAGAGACTGGATTCCTGCAGTCACGAAAGCTTCAAATCAAGGTTAAGCATTCTTTTTTCTTCTTGGTTCTTTCGGTAAAGTCACGTAGAAGGGAAGTAATAAAATAATAAAAATAAAACATAATAAAATAATTCTCACGACGTTTCGGCCACAACGCAAGCAGCCGTCCTCAGGTGAAGAAACAGGTCTGTCGAGAAGACAGCGTCTACGTGACTTTACCGAAAGAACCAAGAAGATGAATCCCTGCAGTCACGAAAGCTTTAAATCGAAATTTAAGCATTCTTTGTTTGTGTTTTACCAGGTTAAAGCCCATTGAGCTACTTAGCTCTTTTTCAGAAGCGACCTGGCCACAAATGATAGCTCAACGAAGTGGCTTATCGCGTGGAGATTTATAGCAGCAGCCAAACAAACTCTCGACACGCACAATACAGACAGTGGCTATAGTCCAAACACTCCAAGCTCCCTTTTGGTATCTCGCCCATTAAAAGCAGAAACACGACGCAAATATCTTTCAAGGTCAAGCCCGTCCTTTAAAAACCCGCGGTGCCCCCCCACACCCTCCCCCTCGCCGCACCCACCACCCCATCGCACCGCCCCGCCCTGCAGCGTTACGGCAAAAAAAGAAAAAAATCTGTCGGAAACAAAAGAAGGGCGCGGAGAGTGCCCGTGACGCGGCCGCGACTCGGTGCGGAGGGATACGATGCCCGTGCGTGCAGTTCATTCACATACGAAGCGTCTCTCGCTCGTCCTCGCAAACGCACGCGGTCCCGTCTTTCACGAGCGCACGCGCATCGCGTACGGAC